CACTCCTAAAATCAACTACAATATGTTGACACCATTATTTTTCACGAATTCTGAAACGTATACTTATTACGGAGTGCGCTTAATGGTGGTGCGAACTGAAAATAAGAACTAAATAATGCGGAAGCAATAAATCGAAGATTTAAAAACTCTTCAGGGAAGCGTCCCACTTCCCCTCAGAGCTCTTTCATTGATAGATCAACCATACACATAGCTTGGACTTACAACGACTCGAACTCCCTTCAAGCATAGCCAACACTACACAGATCCTATCAACTAATTCTCCGGCCACGTCCCGTGGACTTTAATAACCTACACTTACTCCCTAAGTGTATAAGCTGTAAAATAGTTTTTGGATGAAACACAAAGAACAAAATAAAACAACTTCAGTCCTTGAGTTAGTTCGAACTCTCAGACTGAACTGTGTACAACTCAACTTAACAGAAAATACGAAGCTCAAATATTGCTCTAAATAACTTCGAAACTCAGCAGCAGCAATAGGAACTTGCATACGGGTATTTAAAAGAATCTCCTTAGGGTTGGAGTCTTCTACAAGGCATAGGACTCCAACCTTGATTTCCTTCCTTGATTATAGCATGAGAATTTGGTAAGTGAATCTTTTTCTCTCTCTCCTTGATCTCTTTATCATACACGCCTCTCCCTTCCTTATCTCATCCGATTTCCTACAAAACAAAGTACCATAATAAGATCTATAATATCTTATTTATGGAATATAAAATAATCGTAATTAAGGAAACAATTAAGCAAAGATCTTCCCTGTTTCTGTAGTTCCAGGTGCTTGTTCGAACCTTCGAACTAATGCCAAAATAAATATCTTTCAATCTCCCCCTTTGGCATCTAGTTCGAAAACATCAACCATTAAAATATCTCCTGAAAAAATTAAGAACAACAAGCACAGAAGAACCAGCCACTAAACAATCATCAAGAGTTAGGGCAAATAAGCATGTGACTGTTCTCCCCCTCAGTTCCTACACAGTTCTCCCCCTCAGTTCCTGCACCTCAAAAATTCGAGCAAAAGACAATTAAGAACAAATCATCATTCATTCATTAAAAGCACAAACATCCATCCAGCAAAATAGAAGCAAGTAGCAAATATCACACAAGCAAATAAAACACGAGGTTCTTATACAAAAAGACCTCCCTACATCCCTCAAAACACTCAAAAGAAAAACATCTACTCCCCAGCAGTGAACTTGTCGATAGCATCATCAGTTGAATCCCCATCAGAGTCAGAATCAACACCAGCACCCTTGGTAGCAGCAGCAGCAGACTTGTTAGCAGACTTCTCCCCCTTTTTCGAACTACGGGATGCCGAAGGGCCCGTCCCCGAGTTCTTGCGCAGGTTGCCTTTAACTGCCTGAAGAACTTGGCGCAGATACGCCTGTTGAGCAGCAACTTTCTTGGCCATCTCGTCCCATTCAGAGAGTTGTTGAACCACAAATTCCTCCCACTTAGTAGGAACGACAGAAGGAGTCAAATCTTGCTTAGGAGCCGACTTTTCACTCAAAGTACGAAGACTCACAGTCAGATCCTTACCAGGAGGCTTCAGAGAATCATTGTAGCGAGGGTTCAACGAAAAATTATGAGCAGCGAGATATGACCAGATTAAACAAGGATAAGGTAAAGAACGACGAGACTCAATATTGGCAATGAAGGGCTGAAGAATCTCAAACACAACCTCCCCAAAATTAAAGGGCTGACCCACCATCACCCAATAGATAACCTTGCTTTGCAATTCAGTGAGCAGAGTTTTGTTGGACGTGGGGGTCCAATTCCCTGCACCCACTTTATGGAGAAGATTAGCAACAAGGCATAAAGAATTAACGGGAAGGTTTGACCCAGGCCAGGTATCAAGCTGATTGGCAGTAAGAACCTGGGTCACTACATCAAGATCAACAACCGGCAAAGAGGGAATATCAGAGGGGACACCCAAATGAGCATTTAACAAGGCAGGAGAAAAATTGATAATACGATTACGCAAAAAGAGTTTATGAAAGCGGGGGCTAGCAGGTTCAAACACAGCAGGGGTAAGATTAGCAAAGAACTCACAAATAGCCTGGTCACAGAAGGAACATAGGTCCACAACAGTTTTAGATAACCCAACAGAATCAATCAGAGGAAGGACTCCAAGTTCAACAAATTTCGCATCCTTAAGAGGATGTTCACTCCAAAACCCATAAGATCTAAAACGCTCAAACCTGTCATGAGATGCCTCGGTGTAGAACTGGTTAGTAAAGGCATTTTCAAGATCATAGGCATCATCCTCAGGCTCCGGTGGAACAAAGCTTTCATCAATTGGTTCTTTGCCTCTGCGTCTGGTGGAACGACGCACCGGAACTCTAGGTGGAGGAGTGGGCTGGTCGGAGTGGACCTCAACAGTAGTCGCAGCCGTGTCATCCCTTTCTGCTTCAGCGGTTCTGGTAGTGGACTTAGATCCAGTCTTCGTTGCAGATTTGCTCGCAGACGTTGGTATAACAGATGACTCCCCCTGAGTTGGAGCCGCTGGAGTCTCAACAAACCCTGACAGACCAGGTACGCCGGTGGCGAGAGGAGAGATCTCAAGATTTTTCTCAGCATTGTTGGAGTTGGATGAAGAACAAGACGAGGTT